ATCTTTGACCTTTATGTTAAGCTATTCATGTGAAATATGTCAGTGATGTCATGTATATCGTAGTTCTACGAGTATTTTGTTCAAGTCCTCTGTCCTTGAGCTTCATTAATATGTTGTCGGTGTGAAAGTGATAGCATTTAATTTGGTACTAAGGGTTACATTTGACTTCGTCTGGAGCAGTGAATACCTCACTAGCTGTGGAGTTGCTTCACTACTCAGGGTACTTTTGCATGATGACTGTGGAAAGCAGGAATATTAGTGGCACCAAACAGTTGCCTTCATGTGGTTATTATGTGATGCTGTTGCTTTAAACTAGGCTGTTAATTGTCCAGCACACATACTTTACAGGTAGATAGGCTGCTGAGCAAGGGGGGTGATGTAGAGTATTTCTCTCTCTGGTCTCAGTTTTATTCAGCTCCAACAGCTGAGATGCAGAAATTAGTTCATCCAAATGATTTCAGGCATTTGGATTGTTTATACTAAATTCCTCCATCTTTCAGTTGCTGGAACTATGATAATAATTAAGTCAAGGAAAACAGAGATGCTAAAAAGAAGATACTACCTGGTGGGTAGAAAATACCTCTTTCCTTAGAAGCTTGATTAGGTTAGACTGTGGAAAGAGATGAGTTAGATTCAAATAGCCCATCCTGTTCTCTAAAACACTGTGCTCTACAGTTGCTGTAATTCTCTTTTTATCAGTCTTGAAAATCCGTTGATGTGCTTTGACTTTGTTAGGCTTTGTCTTTGAAGAGGTTTGTAATAGACACTGCACATCCATTATGCTGTTGCCAAGAGGAGGATCTTTGTACATCTCAACAGTCTGCTGCTACAGAAGCGTTTGAGTCCTGAATACATCCGAAGCTGGGGATTATTCTTCCATTTTCCTCTTTCTTGTCTCATGGTTGACATAGTTGTGATAAGATTCTCAACAGTTGAGGCAGCCCATCAGCTTTCTACTTTCAGTTGAAAATTTCAGCTTCTCAAGGTAGAATTAGTAAACTTGCTATAAACCTAGTTCCTAATTAAACTTTATAGAAATTGCTTATGGCTAGCAGGATATAAAGAGGTACTAAACTTTTTTCTATACAGAAAAACAGACTGAATTTGTGATTCTGATTTGCCTTACACTTCTAGTCAGATTCAAGTTTGACATGTGTATTTAAATTTTATGAAACAGTGAACTGTCTGTGAGTGATTCTAAGTGAAAAGTTACTCTAGAAAGACATGCCTAAATTTTGCTTTCTTTAAGTCTGTTATTTCTATGCGCTTTCCAGTATTGTATTGTGACTGTGGGTGTGGGTAGTGGGAAGCAGGCAGTCATGCTGCAGGGTTTTATTATTTCTGGCTGGGAAAGGTGCCCATGTGCCACAGTGGCTTCTTCAGTTTTTCACGCCTCCTTTTCCCAGTTTCAAGCCTTGCGACGTACTGTTTATCGTGGGCAGGTTACCGTGGGCAGGTTCAGCTGTGCTCTCTGCAGAAAGCTGCTTTTGCAGGTCAGGCATACTGTGCTTTGCATGAATGGGTACACATCTGGACCAAGTCTAATTCACTCAGTTGCAGCACAGGTAGTCAGCTCCTCTTCAGCAGAACCAGGGAAGGGCTTTTCAGGCAGTTCCCTTTGCAAAAACATTGTGAAACTGTTGGAAAATAAGTTTTTGCTGTAACTAGATGGAGGAACTTCAGGATTTTTTTGAACGGAGAGGGCTGTAACCTCTCCCAAACATTTCCTGCTCCCTCTGAAAACAGTGATAAATCCAAGTACCTTCCATTCTGCCAGCCACATTTGCTAGCATTCTGCATCAGTGATTCCTGAAGCTTGAACAAACCTTACACATTACACACAAAAAATAGAATCCAAATAGCTCTGCTTATTCTGGCAGCACTACCTAGGGTGTCTTTTCACTGCATTTGCAGAACCAGGAGTCTGCTGGAGTGTGATGTGACACTGAGTAAGCCAGATGTATTCCTGCCATTCCAGTGCTCCAAGAGCCAGGGAAGAGGCAGCAGCAGCAGCTATTACAGGACTGGAAGAGAGCAGGGGTATTGACAACTTGTACCTGGAAAGAATCAGTGTGTTGCCAATTTTTTGATTTAATGAGATGCAGCTGAAAAAGTTTGGAGCCAACCTACAGTCAGCGAGTGACAGGGCAAGCAAGGCGCAGCAATTAAAATGGGTCTTCTGAGCTCTGTGTTCAGTAGTTAAAACTTGACACAGAAGTAGAAGTTGTGAAAGTAGGTATTAAGTTCAGGTAAAGCTATTGCATTTGTGGAGCTGGTAAGTACTACAAAGGTATTGCTTCGGTATCAGAACATCTAGACAGCAAGTAGCAGAAAAGCTTAATTATTCCTCTTTATAGACAATACATTTGACTTACAAGAGAACATTTTATCACCACCTTGCAGTCTCTCTTTTCCTCTCCTCCTGCCCTCATACTGCTCACAGGGTAGAATTCTTCTCATCTTGTTTTTAGATGCCTGCACTAGGATGAAACATGCCCTGTAAATGCTGAACTAAACTAGCTCAGATGCTGACATTTCAATTTAATGACATAAAATTCACCCAGGGAGTCTGTTGCTTACTATGGAGTGTGGCTGAGCAAAGCAGGTTTTTCCGTTTATGCTACCAGCACGCTCTCATGTCCTGTTCTTCTGTGTTGTGCAGGACCTGGGTTCTCCAACGATAGAAGAACAAGTTGATCAGCCTACAATAGATGATGAGACTGTGCTTATTGTTCCTTCTTCCCATGGTTTTATCCAGACAACGGATGATATAGATAGCGAATCAGTCTTGCCCCTGACAACTCTAACAGGTATGACAGTCCCTTCATATGGTTGATGCTGGAGCTAGGATTCGTTAAAACAGTATGGCACTCTTGAGTTCCTGTAAACAACGCTTTATAGATCCTTGCTTTCTCTTAAGTAATTTTCCATGTCATTGCTGTGAAACTAAGCAAGTTGGTTACCCAACTGATAGCAGTAGAAGTGGAAGAAAGTCTCACTTAACCCTGTGGGAAAGCATTAGAACAGCAGCTGCTTCATCGCTTGCTGAGCTGTTTTCATCATCCTTGAGCCTTGAATTAGTACACATAGGCTAATAAGTAACTCTTTCTTTAGTGTGCATTTCTTCATGCCTGGTGCTTGAATGAAATTTGTTTCTTATTTGAGAGAAGACCAGAGGCATCAGAACTGCACTTGATGCCTCTCATGGTGAGGGGCTGGGCTGTTTGGGGGTGTGTTTGCACAGCACTCACCTGGAAGGGCTTGCTGGCTTGTGCCACGCTTCCCAATGCCAAGAGTCATCTCAGACTTGGAAGCAGCACAGGTATGTTCTCCCACTGCTGCACCTAACAAATACTGCTTTCCAGAGGAAGGATCTCCTTGCAGAGCCATCAGAGGGTCAGCACTAGCCCTGATACAGTAATACCTGATGAATCCAAATGTGAGTCACACCGGTTGCATCCGTATTAGTCATAGCTTACCTTGAAACTAGAAATGGAGAACTGCCTGGTTTGAGCAACATTGCTTAAAATTGGTTAAAATTCCAGACTGCATTTTCTGTCTCCTAAGTGTATTTTATATCTTGTTATAATGGCACAGTAAATAACAGTTCTAATGTACTGTGTCTCTTGACAGATCCTATCCTACAGCATCACGGAGATGGGTCACACATTATTGGCTCATCATTGGGCAGTCCTGACTCAGAAGATTCAAAGGATGTTGAAGATTTAGTGAGCTGTCACTGAGAAGCTGTACTCGTGTCCATTTTCTATTGACCGTGTTTGCATTGTGAAATTAGTTACTACCCTGTGCCACATTTCCAAAGAAAGCAGTCAGTCCGTGTCTTTAAACAGAAACTTCCAGTTTGAAACGACTACAGTGCACTTTCTCTGCTCAGGCTATTTACCTCATTTGTAAAGGGTTACAGAGCAGCCAGCCGAAGCCTGATGTACTACATCTCAGCCGAGGTGTTTCAGTGTTTTAAAGAACCTTTGTGGCAGTGCTCACTGCTAGGATCCACGTGGTCAATTCTGATCTGACTTGTTACTGGTGTGCTGAACTGCACATCTGGAAAACTGGACAGAAGTCAAGGATTGTAGACTGTAGCCTCTTAGTGCCACAGCAAGAATTAGTTTGCACATGTTTCATGAAGAATGGGTGAGGATTTCTGCACTTACTGACTCTTGTAATACATGGAGTAAGAGACTGTTACTTTTCAGGAAGAAATGTTTTCCATCAAAGACTTCAGGGAGCATGGGCAGCATCATGAAGAAATGGTCTGTATTCCCATCTCATCTGGCTTGTCAGTACGTCCACGGCATAGGAAGAAGACAGATGCTTATGGGACTTGCCTGGTCTGCTTGTTCCTGAGGAGTCCGTTGCTGGCAACGGACAGAGCTCAGAAAGATCACTTGTGGAAAATCTTTTTTTTTTTTTTCTTTTCCTTCATCACTACAGCGAGCTGAATAAAAAGGGAAGGGCTATGAGAAAGGGAAGCTACTGGGACCCACCAGCCTCCCTCCGCAAGCTTGTAATTTCTTTGAGGATTGTTGTGAGTAGGCTGGAACATTTTTCTCTCTCGCTGTTTACATGACACTACCAGCCACCTCTCCAGAGGTGATTTATGCAGCAGGTTAGTAGATGGGGTGGTGGTGTGGAGGTGGCAAAGTCTTGGAGAAATAACTCTGTGAGAATTTGGGCATAGGGCCCCGAGGCAAAGGAAACCAATTAATTCCTACGTTCAAGGGTTTGAAACAGACACTAGGCTGAGCAGCAGCCTGTTAGCTAGGGATCGAGAGAAAAAGCTGTAGAAACTAAAGACTCATGTATAAATTATTTTATTTATTTCTGTAATTAGCTCTTCATAATCAAGAGTTGGTCTTTTTCAGTCTGTGGTTTTGTTAATGTGAAAAATAAGTTGTAGTTTCAAATGGTTGCCTAGGGAACAGAAATAATTGTATATTCAGTTTAAATGAAATAAAGAGTATTTGTCTTACGTAACTGTAAGATGCCATTTATTTATACTGCTACAGATCCTTGCAATGCTGCAGTTTATTTGTACAGTAATAAAAAAATGCAGTTTTTTCCAAAATGAAAAAGCTTGTGCCATTCTGAAACATCAGTACAACTGGGATGTTCATTAAGTGCAACAGTAGCTCTTCAAAAAAAAGCAGAATGTCACGTCTTAGAGCAATAATTCTCCCCAACAAGAGGGACATTACATATACATTTACATGAAAATCATGTACTGATTTATCCCCGCACAACCCACTTCTTTCCTCTCAGGCTGATTGTCCTCACTTCAGTGTCTCGGGCTGAGCTGAAAGCAGTCTGACACAGTGGCATCATTGCTGGGCATTCCCAATGTCCATCATTTACCCACTTCATGGAAGTACAGGTTGGCACATATACATAACATGACGATAGAAAATAAAATGTAGTAAATTAGGTTCCTGAATTTAGGTTCCAGGTCTCCTTGCCGATACCAGTAGATCTAGAAGAGAGAAGGAGCTTGTATTACTGAAAAATACCAGGTACTTCTGAGGAAAATTTCTATAGTAACTGAACTGGTAACTTCTAGAAGTTGGGTTTAGTTTTGTTTGGTTTTTTCTGTAAAACAACCCAGCTTCATCTGACTAGAGAAGACTCTGTGTAGAGTCCAGCTAATTTTCTTAACAATTAAGAAATACCACTTATGTTTTCTTAGCATGCTTGTGGAATACACAAACAAGAATTTGGTAAGGTGCTTCTCCCCAAAACCAGGCTCTTTGTGAAACTAGGGTGCAGGTTAGCTCTGAAGACATGGGTTGTCTTGTCAGCTTTGTTGAAGAGGGTGGGTGGGTTGGTTGGGTTGGTTTTTTAAACACTCAAAACCAGCTACACTCCAGTCGATGAGGACAAACGTCAGGTTTTGCACTACACAATCTGTCTTGGGCAGAGTCGTGGCTACCAGCTGTAGAACCAGAAGCTGGTACCAGGCAATGCAGAGCACCTTCCCATGTTACCCAGCAGCGCGGGGCAGGAGCTCAGGCCCGTGACCGTTCCAGGTCACAACTGGAAGAAGGAGAACGCTCCAAGTATGACTGCAGCAGAGGAAGGAGCCACTGATGTCCCTGCCCACGGCAAGGTGTTGGACTAGATGATATTTGAAGGTCCCTTCCAACCCAAACCATTCTATGAACTCTGACCTGCCACTTCCCTTTGCCAACGCTTGGGACCAATGCTTGGGACTAACGCTCTGGGATGCCGCAACTGTTGAGTAGAGGAACCTCTGCCACAACCCCACTGAAATGCCACCTGCTGTAGGTTCCTGCCACTGTAACTCAGCCCCTGTGCTGAAAGGTCACCGACTTCTGCAAGTGCCTGGCTGGCCCCACCGCTTGGAGTTCAAGTGTTTTGCTCTACCCCTAGTCTCCTGCAGCACAATCCATCTCTGCGTTCCCATCTCACTGCTCTGCTCTCCGGTTTCCTACTTTGTCTCCACTGGCAGCTACAGGGGGCATTGTCATAGAGGTGACAAGTCTTGCACAGCAGCTGGTCTGCAGAAGTTGGCTTAGTTCACACGCTTACTCTGCCGTAAATACAAAACTGCTTACCACTCCTGCACTGTCAACTTGTTCTATGGAGGCAGGAAAGCTTTTCTGGGAGAGTGTAAAAAAGAAGGCGGCACCGCGTAAAGCAGTTTTTATTCAGATTTTATCCTCGGTCATAGACTCAAAAGCTTGCACGGCAAACGTGGCGGTACTTACAAGTATGCCAGCAGAAATGCAACACAAGGAGATGCAGAAAGCAAAAAATATATTCACAGGTTTTGGAGGTAGTTGCGGGAAGACAAAAGCACTGATCAGAGTGACCTGTATGGAGGAAAACAGAGATGAAGACTTTGCTCTCGCCTGCCGTCAGAGTGGCGAGGAGAAGGGGCTCGCCCCGACGGCTGGCGTACCGCAGCGCTCGCATCCAGGGCTGCACGCCCCTCCCTGCTCTTTAACTCCCACCCCATGAAGAGCTGGAGGGAAATGTAAAATTCTGGAGGAAAATCACTTTGATGCAACTGCGGGCTTAGAGGGGTGAAAAAAATAATGATGAAAACTTTGCTACTCTGGCTTGTTGCTGGAAACCATCCTCCAAGTACCCTCAAAGCCAGCAGGCACGGGGGTGCACGCTGCCGGCGCGGGAGCATCTCTTCAGCCAAGCTTTCCGCCAGCTGGCACCTTGGCTCTCCCTGCCGCCTCCCAGCACCTCGGCTCACAAACGGTGCTGCCGCCACGGACCGCAGAACTGATGCTCCCCAGTCGCGATGGCGTTGGGTGTGTCTTTAAAGCTTGGGGAAAGCATAGCTCGAGTCAAAGTGACAAACTTTGGAAAAACTCCGGTAAGCCATAAATAGAGGGCAATAAATCATAAATAGAAGGAAATAAAGGGAAGCAAACACATTCTCCTGGGTCACTTTGTCATCTCTCCCAGCCTCTCGTTCAGCCGGGATGGACAATCCGCCCATAGACCTGGGGCTTTTTATTGCACAGCCAGATCTTAAACCATGGCTTGAAGAAAGGTATTCTCCTTCTCCTGTTGTCAAAGATCTTCAAAAGACAGATGCACCCCAAAGGGCCTGCCCGGGCCCCAAACTACAGCCTGTTTGGTCGGTGAAGCTTTGCCGCCTGTTTTGGGGAGGAACTCTGGTTTTCACCCCATCCCCTAAGGGAGCACGAAACACGGGATGGGGTGGGGTGGGGTGGAGGATACTTACTACAAGCAGCAAGGACGTTAAGCCGCCAACAACTAGATTGATGACTCTGTCCTGAAGAAAAGAGAGGACAGTTACACGCACGCCTTGCCAAAAAGAAACAAAAACCCACATAAAACAGACCGGTAACCGACAACATCGAGAGCATCGCATCAGCCAGGACCCACGTTACCCCCAGCACACCAGCAGCACCATCGAGGCTCCCTGGTCAGCTCTGCCACGCAGGAAGGTTTCCCTTCCTCCGACTCCATGGACCTCAGGGAGGTTCTACTGGCCAAGTCCTCGTGCAGCAGGTTTGCTCATTCGCAACTGGCTTCTTCACTACATCCGAAGCAATTGCAGTTGTGCAAATCCTTCTTAAGAATTTTTAAAAAGTGGGAGTGCATAGACAGAGGTTGTCAGAAAAAGCTTATTTTAGCCTCAGTGTCTGAGAATTAATGGTTTGGTAGTGTCTTTGTGGGCTGCTGGCAAGGAGGTGAAGTGTTCCCCGCACCCCAAATGATCCCCCTTAACACCAGCAGACCTGAACACACCTCAGGGTGGCCCTGCTTGGATGGACAGATATTCCCCCCACACACTTCTTTCTGCTGCTCCCCATCAGTATAAAACTGTCGGCTGGGAGGAGACAACCTTTTTGCACCTGGGGAGAGGTCTCCCACGGTGTCAGCACCGCAGTCCCACCCCAGGTGGCATCAGGGCACGGACCAGCAGTGACACCAGGCTGCGTGACGGCGGGCTCAGAGGAGCACCCAGGGCAGGACCCCGTACTGACGCGCTCGTTAGAGTAAGAAACGACTTGATGCAAAAGGAGAACATTCCCATCCCTGCCGGGTTACCGGCCTCCTCCCTTTCTTCATGGTGCTGCTCCGAATACAAACATGTATCGCCAAAGTCGGACTGGCTGGACGCAGTCAGGTGTAACACCCCAGACGGCTGGCTCCCCAAATAAAATGCTAGAAGAACAGCTACAGCAGAAAAGACGTGCAGAGAGAAAAAGCCCAGAACTTCAATTAATTATACTGAGAGTCATTAAATAGGTACGGTTAATGGAAAGTGAGAAAAGAGTTCAAGCAGTGAAAGCATCTTGCCCAAAACACCCCAGCCAGCAGGCAGGGCAACCCAGGTTTCCCTCCACCTAGTCTTGCACTCTTCTTCCCTCCTAGCGTTACATTTTGGAAGACGACTTGTAGCAGGAGAAGCCCCAGGACATGAAGAAGTAATGCATGGCAGCAGCGGGGCAGGAGGTGAAAGCAGCGGGCAGAGGAGGAGGCAGAGAGCAAAGCATGCTCTTGCATAAGAGCACCAGCCCTGACCTAAGGCTTGGTGGAGCTTGGGTGCCTGAGCTTGCAGTTGAGTAACAGGCGGATGCCTAGGAAAGGACCACAGCAAGCAGACTCTTTAAAGCCTCTCCTATAGTCCCCAGCTCCTCTACGTAAAACCAGACCATTTATGTTCCTACAGCTCGGAGGCCCCAAGCCATGGGGGCACGGTGGCGGCTGCCGCCGCGGGAAGTGACCCACCTCCGTAGGAAATGGTCACCAACACCCCCTGCGCAAGGTCCTCGCCAGCCAGGCGCAAACCCCTTCTCCTCACCGGTGCTTCCGCACACGGCATCGGCCACACAACAGCAGCCTCTGGGAGCCATCTACGAGGTACCCACCACCGACCCCAAAAATGAGCTAAGAGGAAATAACTCCGGGCAAATAACAAAAGCAGCAGGGTGAAATGCAAGCACGCTACCTCCACGAGAGCATATCGCGACAGCTCAGCTGGGCTCCTCCACCTAAGCTAAAACAAATTAATTACAGAACTGAAAGGTAACTTCAATCTAGACGGTATGCGGAGGGGTCGTTACCCCCAAAAGCAACTCCGATATCAGGAGAGGACAGTGGTTTTACTCTGCCCTCGCCCTGCAGAGCCGGCTGAGCCCACCAAGGCGATTTTACGGAGGGGGACTGGAGTTTGCATTCGGGCCTAGCTCCCCAGGGACAAAAGGGGTGACAGGAGGTGAGCAGCTGGATCCCTTCTCCCTTTGTGCTGTGGGGAGATGGGTTCTGAAGAGCAGAGGAAGGGGAGGGAAAGCCGAGGAGCCCGCTGCAGAGCAGCCGTACAGCTAGCCCAGCGAGCACACTGTCACAGCCAGCTCTCCGCAGAGAGGCTCGGAGGGACGGACACACGGTTGCATACGTACAGACAGGATACACCATCCAGAAACTCAGCCATGTTTAGGTTTCTCCCAATTAACTAGAGACTCAGAGGGTGGCAATTTTAAGACGGGGAGAATTCACCTGTTTTGCCTGGACAGAGAGTGGTCTGCTGGCAGAAAATGAGGGGGTCAGGCTCGGCGGTGACCGCGGAGTATTTCTCTGCCTGTTTTACAGGGTGCGGGAGAGAGCATCCCGCTGGCACGGGGACCTCTCCTCCCACGCTGCCGAGTGATGGACATCACGGTGACCGCCGGATCGGGTACGGATGCCGGCAGCGTAGTGGCATTGCCAGGTGGCAGCCAGTCCCTGCGGGTCGGGGCATCCCCTTCCCTGTGCTGAAACCCACAGTCGCTAAAATTTTCCAAATGCGCCACCGGCAGAAGAAGGTATTTCAGGATCCGGGGATTAGAGCCACTGATCCTGAAATCCCAGGCTTGGCAAAGTGGCAAGAGGCTGTATTCCCCGGTGCCCGCTGACACTTCAGCCCCAGGCAGCTTAGCACAGCAAAAAGGTTAAAAATACACAAGCAGAGGCCAAGACGGCTAAAGGGATTGGGGATGACGGAGCCTTTCACCTCCACGCCATGTCCCGAGCGCGCAGACACTCGTTGATACCAGGCACGCAGAAACAGGCCATGACGAGCCGTGTGTCCTACAAACCGTGTCACCCCGCTGGCACAGCCAGCTCTTGCAACCAGCGCAGCTGATTTAGGGAGGATTTTTCTCCGGCATCACTATGTATTATGGTAGCTGCTAGAGTAAAAAGACAAAAAAAAAGCAGCGTGCACATTAAAACAGTGAGTGTGCAGGCTGCTGGAGGTCACCTGCAGCGGCTCAGGGTGCTCACACACGGACACCAACGGCAGCGTGCGATGCGCTGATGGGGGTCCCCGTTCAGCCAGCCAACAGCCGAGACATAGCGAGCTGTTCGCCAGACAGGCAATGAATTCCATGTTTCTGCGTTGCACAAGCTGCATTTTGAAACGGGAGGGTTTCTGCCCTCTCCCCCTGCTCCGGGGAGGGTGTTGCAGGGGCTGGAGGCACCAGGCTGGCCCCAGGGAGCTGCTGCGGTGCAGAGGTCTCCCTCCAGCTGCCTCTGGGCAAGGGAGACGAGGTCAGGAAGCACCAAGTCCTCACAAAGCAGGAGGGCACAAGCCTGGATCCTTCAGGATCTAGGTCAGGGTTACTCTGAGCAACAGGGAAACCGAGGCAGGACTGAGGGTGTATCCGCACCACTGTGCGACAAAAAAAAGCGAGAGCTTTGCTCTTTACCCCGTTCCAGCTCAGCACCTTGCATCCTGCAAGACAGCGGCTTGCAGGCTGAGCCCGCGGGGAACAAGCTCCCGGCAGAGGCTTGGCCAGGACGGGGGAACGGGCTGGTCCCCTGGAGGGTGGCGGAAAAACCATTTTTATGCCTTACATCAACAAGTCCAGATGGTCAGCAGCAACCGCGGCAAGATGCCAGCCCACTGCAGCCATAGGGGATACCTTAATCTATGCCACATTAAACTCCGTGGAATAGCAGACAGCGTATGTTATACACGAGAGGAGCTGTGCTCGGGACCGCGCTGGCCACACTCCCGCTCCAAGACGTGGGGAAATGCTGTTGTGCCCCAGCAGCTCCTCATTCCCATCTCGGAGGCTCAGTCTCTCTTTTTACTGCCTTCTGCTTCCAGTCTGCAGCCATTAACACCCACCCGCTTACATTTAAATGCTCCCGTCACGCAGGAACCCAAGCAGCTTCTACTTCCAACTTCTTTCCCCAGAAGTCCTGCATCCGCGATGCTGTCTCCTCTCTCACCTTACCGCTCCTGCCTTTGCTGTGCATCGTCTCATACCCGATCGCTGCCAGTGCCGCATCCCTAGTAGCCACAGCTGAATCCACAGCGCTTGGCATTCATCAGCATCGTCTTGCTACACTCTCCCTTCCCACCAGAGACCTTTTTGGTACCAGCTTGCCCCCAGCCTCTGCTCGGCAGCCGACACGGGAGGGCAAGCTTGGCAGGAGCAGCTGGACCACAGCAAGAGAAGGAGACCAATGATGCTGCCCACCTCCCTTGTCCCCACAGCCTGGCTTTAGCCCCAAAGCCACCGGCTTGGAGACCAGGAGAGCATAAGAAGGGAAGAAGAGGGGATCTCCATCTCCACATCCATCTCCAACTGCTGGCAACAGTGCAAGACCCCTGATCTGGGTGCAGGCCTCCCTGGGGCACGAGCACTGCCCCCGCCCCTCCCGAGCAGAGGTCCCGGTTTGCCAGCACCAGCCATCACTTGCAGAGACCCAAAAGCAGAGCCAGGACACGGGCAGATGTGCTTCTCCCAGTGGACCTGCTCCCATTTTAAGGCAAAGTTTAGCTTCACCATTTCCGAGACGGAACATTTCCAGCTCCGGACCTCACCAGCGTCTGTCTCTAAGCAACGCCAGTGAATCACGGAGGAAACCACCCCAGGCCAGCACAGCGATCCCTTGTCCGTCGGACACGGGTGCAGCAGCGAGAGGCCATCAGCCGCTGCCCGTCCCATTCCAAAAACAGCCAGCGGGGCCACAGGAGATAGGCAGGGGGTGATGTGCAGGACCCTGGATCCCTGTTTGAGCCCAGGAACTGGAATTAGCCTCCCCTGTTTATTATTTACCACTCTCCTTTGCAAGTGGAGCCGCAAACAGAAAGAGACGGGAGGTCCGAAGGCTTAACCTGAGCTGGGAAGTTTGGGATTTGCCTGCTGGGATCACTGCCCAGCTCCGACGGCACATCCCGGTCCCCAGAAGTCCCCATCCCTGGAAGCTTCCCACAATCCCCGGCCAAGGACCAGGCATGGCGACCCTGCGCAGGGCACGGTGGTGGAGGTCCCCTCGCCTCCAGCGCTTCCCACCGGGGCTGGCACCCGCTGGCGGGGCAGCCCCGTCCCCCCGTCCATCCGTCCTCTCCAAGGTCCCGCCTGCCCTCCTCCCATCCCACATCATTCTGCTTTCCCCCCCAAGATCTGGCTGGCATCACTTTATTTATATTTATTAAACATCATTTTAGCAGCATTTCCAAGTATTTGGGGGGAGGGATGATGCATTTTATACACTTTTGTGAATAACTTAGCGCAATTTCAGCCTGCGGCCCTCCACACCCAGGCGCACAGAGATGGGTAACCTCTCCAAACAGGGGACAAACGCCAAGCCACGAACCACCGTCACCCCGCTGGAAGCGGCTGTGCACCGCCGGTTATCACCATTCCCGAGGGATCTGGATGCCGGGCAGTGCTCCAGGGAGCCCCCTCCCCAGTGCAGCCCCCCGAAGCAGACACCGACCCAACGCAGTGCCGAAAGCTGAGCGGCTTACGGGGGATTGACACCTGAAGAGTCGGCACCGCCGCACGTCAGCCGCCGCCGCGCACCCCCCGAGGAAAAATAAATTAATTACCAGGAGGACACCGAAAGCAGCCCCCCCCATCCCCAGCAAAGCAAAGACTCCCCCCCAAAAAACTGGTGAGATGCAGCTTGGGGTGCTGCAGCCCTGGGCCCCGCTTTGGGGGGCTGCAGGGCCACACGCACCCGGACGGGGCAGCCTGGCCGGGGGGACCCCCCTGCCGGGGC